CCACTAATCAAACTTGATTACACAGATACAATGACAAATGTCAAAGTCTTCTTGAGTTTAAACCACAACCCGATTTTCTCAAGGTATTACATAGTAATATAATTGAAAGTGTGTACAAATATATTTTCTAACAAAAATAATATCACAACAGTGATGTATTACACAATTGAAAAGTACGGGATATAAAGGTAATAATATTTCTCTTTTTCAGTGCACAGCAAAATCGTATCTGATTTCTTCTTCACGTCTTCTTTGTATAGGCAATGTGTGATAAGGTCCTTCTGGAAGGTTAATAAATAGTAGTTAATATACTTTCCAAACATAGAGTTTCTTGTCTTCTTTCAGCCATTACTATTGATTAGCCATGAATAAAATGTAACGCTTCAGAACATGCTTACTAAAGATCAAATCAGAATATGAATGTTACTGTTGAGACTCCTTTACTTCTTTCCATAACTTTACGTATCATAATATCAGTTCTTGTTCGCAACGTTAGTGCACTCAGAAGTTGTAACATCATAACTTATTTATTTAAGCGTGTTGTACATATTTAATTCTACGTAAGATGTGTCATAACAAAGTTTTAACAACGATCTATCTCATCTTTTGTGCTTCGTACATCATAACTTCCCTACAAAACAAAATACTTATTTAGGGAGCATAATTATTCTTTGTGCGTTTGTTATCATCAAAACTCTTACAGGGATGTAGAACCAAACTATGTCCTAACAATTTAAAGCTCATTGACTATGATCCTCATCAAAAGATTGAGATGAAGATGGCTGTTTAAAATAAGGGAGATCTTAGTCCCTACTTCAGGTTGTTTCTGCTGTTTGAAATGAGGCAAGTATGAAATTTAGTTTTGTTAGGTGTATTTTTCAGTGATGATGATTAATTAGAGGGTGAAATACATTTGATTGATTAGTTTCTTTTTTGTGTAGGTATTTAAATATAGAATAAAGAATATTTTTTTGTAATGAAACAAAATGCTCAATTAAGATGATGACATGATTTATATTAGTCTACTGCAATTCACGACTTAACAGGCTCTCTCCAGCTTTTCATTTTGACATGCTCTTTCTGTCTTAACATTTATATTACAAAACTGATTTAGAAAAATATGTACCTTTTTGAAACTAGAATAGCTGTCAATTATTGAAGATGTGATGCTAGTTTCATTATACTTGTTAATTGTTGGTTTTGCAGTAATCTTCTATAAGAACATTCTTAATTATCACGTGTTTGAAAGAATTGTAAAGAATGCTTAGGTATTTGTTGTTCATTTTTTGTCTTACCTGTGTAACTTATTTTTCACATTTTATTATTTAATGTTTCATCTCAATTCTAAAACCTTGCATATTCAATGTTTCGGGCACAACAAATGGATTTTATGGAGTAACAGCAATTTGTTGAACGCACGTTAATGCAGTCAAGTCATGCCAATAATTTAGCAGAAACTGTGTACACCAGAACCCATCTTGAGAATGGATTTACACGTGCAGCTGATTTGGAAGCATAGGTAGTTATTATTAGGAAGTTTTTCAAGGGAGCTATAAAGCATAAGGATTAAGACCACTTCTATTTCTCAATAAGTACTAACTATTAACTAATGAGCTATAAAGCCATTTGCCAAATGCTTTAATTTTTATGCCAGTTCATCTAAAAGATACAAAAATGTTGCCCAAACAACTCCATTTTACATATTGTAATGTTGCTCTTGGAAAGTTGTAGGAAAATTGATGGAAAATTGTAATGTTGATGTTGGAAAGTTGTAGTAAAATTGATGAAAATTTTCAATGTTGCTATTGTATTTTATGTGTTTTGCTTTAGGTTCGGGTTTGGGCGGAAAAACCCGAACCCAACGGGTGTAGGCGTGGGTGTTATTTTGTCACCCAAATAACTTTTGGATTTGGGTTTGGGTGGTGATTTCGAGTGCGGGTTTGGATAGTGTGAAACCCGCACCCGACCCTACCTGTTACCATTCCTAGTCACAACCTGTAAATGAACCAAAAGAATCAAATAGAAGATTACACTTCAAATTAATAATATTTAGTTTTGCTTAACAGCTTCAACTAAGAACAATACTCAACTCTTTGCTTAAAAGCTCATGAGTGAGAAAAATGACTTGATAAACTGTCAAGTAACAATCAATCAACCTCAATGTATCAAAAGATACATGAGTGACATACAAAGAATAAAAACACAATGAACTTAAAAGACTCCCAAAACCCTAATCCTTATTTTGCACCCACAGTTTATTCAATGTCAATGTTTGCTATTTTAGGTTTAACAAGTCCTTATTTATAGACTTTACAATATGGGCTTGGACTCTTCAAATCAAATTCAATCTTCTGTTTTAAATCAGCTGAAAGATCTTCACATAAAAATAAAAATAAATCTTTTTAAAGTTTCCTAAAATGTCTCAAAGATCCTTTTTATGAAACCAAATCAAATATGTACTTATTCCTGATAAATCTCATTGACATGCGCAAAATAATGAGATATATCCAAAAGGATCTCTCAAAAACAAATCAAATTGGTCAAGAGATAAAATAGTAGTGCATGATGCATAACAGGCCAAGATGTCAAGACATTTGGCTCAATATTTGTCTGATAAGCATGGCAGCAGAAATTGTCATGGCAATTGGTCAAGATGTTATGACATGTTGCTCAACATCAGTCCAGAATCATGTTTTAGCAAAATTTATGACAGTCCTAAAACCATGGATTTAACAAAATTAACAAAATACTTGAAAATATTAGCATAGGGTCCCACCAGGTGTGCCAATTTGCTTACCTTAGAAATTGGAAAACAACGATAGTCTCTTATTAAAGGTTGTTTTGCGAGATAGAGTAGTGAATCCCAAAACACTACGCTTGGACTTTTCAAATATAGTAAAAATGGTGAGTGTTTGAGTGATTTCGACAATGGTCGAGATCATGTTATGCATTTTGAAATAAGTAACGGTGAATATTTGACTGAAAATGTAAAGACAATAAAGAACAACTAAATGAAAGCTTTGCATTTATTGAAAATTCGGTGATCAAACGTACATTGCACTCGTCAGACTCATTTAGCGCCTCACTGGGTACTTTGAGTTTTGCGTGAGTTTGATAATAAATTTTAACACCCCTAAATATGATAATGAAATTACTATTTATAATACAAATAAATAGCTTATTTATGGAGGGCTTCTCTCCAACGAAAGCCATATATTGTTGGATGTCTTTTGTCTCTATTAACTGCTCATACACGTATCCATGTTAGGATAAGGTAACGAACGGTTACTACACCATGTTTACTTGTGCCAGCCGCTTAGATCTATGTAACTACCTTGCTCGAACTATCCATCTTTCTACCAAAAAAATCCTAAGTCCACAACTCTCTTCGAATAGGATTTCGACCTCTAATTCGCTTATCCCGTGTTAAATAATTTCCTCTACATGCATTGGCCATGCTTTTCATCCTAAAACAACACTTAATCTAAGAGTATTTGCATCTTCCTCTTGCTTTAGCTGGATTTTTAAATTCATGTTGAAAATCATAGCTAACACCAGGGCATTTACATGAGCCACCAAACTTTAATGTTTATATCACTTTGTATGGTTTTCATTGCTCCATTTCTCTCCTTTAAACTTTCAAAAACATACTTTTGCTTGTTCAAGAACACCTGTTTGTTCACCGATACCAGAAAATCTTCATATACCCATTGAACTGGAAGAGAGGCAGTTCAGGTGGCGAGACCAGTTCAATAACGAGGTGCTAGTCGGTGTGCATTGTACCTTATCAGTCTCCAATTGTTCTTTTGGACATAAGTCCCTAATATTTTTGGTAGACCAATCTAATGAGTATAAGAAGGGGATTGAACAAGAGATCTTAAGATTTTAGTGAATCCAGTTTCGCAGAGTTGTATGGGCAGTGAGAAATCAGGATTATGACTAGGCTTAAGTATGAGGCTAAGCCTTGTTTGCGAAGGGAGTTACGATGTAGGATTCAAAAGGAGGATGTTGGCGGTAATCTTGTAGTTGGATGCCCAGAGAGATCATGGGCCTATCGTATGACAAAAGCACATATTTCTATAGGAATATCCTAGTCCCAATTGTTAAAGGGGAAATTATACTAGCCAAGTGCGGATAGAAAAGGAGACATTGCTTCGATGATGAATTTAGAGTCAGTCCTTTAAACCCTATTGGGTTAGGAGGTTGCATATTTAGGGAAAGTGGTAATAATGTAATGTTGTATTTTCTTAATTATATAATTGATACGAAAAATAGTAAACATTGAAATAAAAAATGAAACCATATTGATGAAGAATATGATAGTTGATGTTAATGAAGAAGATGAAACCGAAAATGCAGTGTAGAACCAGAAAATGGTAACTTTAATGGAGAAAAGCAATGTAGAACCCGAACCAACTGCAAAAATGGAAGAACAAATCAAAACTGAAATATATTGAAAATAAATATGAAAAGGACACAAAGCTCAAAAAAGTCAAAATGGTGAATGTTAGAGTAAAGCGATATTATGATTGAGAAAACAAACTTGTGGAATATCAATGATTTCTATTATTCAGTAATCTCTTATACTCATTTAATAGAGTTGGTATTTATACATGATACAAGACAAATGACACACAACCATTGGGCAGCTACTAACACTAAACAGTTTGAATTATTCTAACACATTTCCTTAATTCATAACTGTTACAAAGACAATACATTCATCATTTTCCTCAACTCTTTGAACCTTTCACTCTTCAAAGGCCTGGTCAATATATCTTCCAGCTGTAGCTCAGTTCTGAAATGTTGAAGTTTGATCCTTCCCTTACTTACTTGGTCTTAAAGAAAGTGGAATTTAGTGTCAATGTGTTTGCTCCTACCATGTAACATGTGATTCTTGGCCAAATCAATTGCTGACTTGCTATGTACCAGTAACTCCACCGCTTCTTCATTCCATAGCCCAAATTCTTTGAGTAGTGCAGATAACCATAAGGCTTGCCATGCAACTGAGTAGGCTACAATATGTTAAGCCTCACAGGTTGAGAGTGCCACTATATTTTGCTTATTGGACATCCAAGATATATGGGAAACTGAAAACAGAAACACTCGTCCCATGCTACTTCTTCTATCTACTATATCACCACACCAGCCAGAATCATAGTAGGCTACAAGGTGTAGGCTATTGTCCTCTTCCCAAGTCAGTCATATCAAATTCACTTTTTAGTTTCCTATTGATTAATTCCAAGGAATTTAGACTACTACACGTGATGACCAAACCATCAACATACAAACACAATATCAATAGTTCTTGTTCATTTACTACCTAAACATACCATGTTCTATAGAGCATTTTTAAAAACCAAGGTTGTTGAGGAATGAGTTTATTCTTTTGTTCCATGCCCTGGGGGCTTGCTTTAAGCCATAGAGATCCTTCTTCAACCTTAACACCTTTTACTCTTCACCTTTATATTTGAAACCTGGAGGCTGCAACACAAATACTTCTTCATCAAGTGGCCCATTTAGAAAGGCTTACTTGACATCTAACTGACACAACTTCCATTTATTCCAAATGGCTATTAAAACAACCAGTCTCACAGTTTCCATCCTTGTTACTGGAGCAAATACCTCATCATAATCCAAACCTTCCTGCTGCATGAATCCCTTTGCCACAAGTCTGGATTTGTGCTTGGCTATGGAACCATCTGGTTTGAACTTGGTCTTAAACTCCCATTTGGAAGCAATTGGTCTTTTGTTTGGAGGAAGATTTACAATCTCCCAAGTATCATTTTTTTCAATACTCTTCAGTTATTCTTCCATAGCTAGTCTCCATGTTTCCTTTGAGATGGCTTCCTCAAATGAGATAGGTTCCATGTCTGCCATAAGAGCCATATGTTGTACCAGGTCACCTTTTGTTGATATATTTCCATTAGAGAAAATCTAATAGTCACTAAGCCTTGATGGAGCCTGTCTTATTCTTGTAGGTATGTCTGTAACCCTTAGAGTTTCATTGTTAGCTGCACCATGTTGTGGTTCCATTCTTGAGTCATCATTTTCCCATTCAAGCTGGATAGTTGAACTTGTGTTTTCCTTTGATTGGAATTCTTCCCATGAACCTGCTTCATCAAAGTAAACATCCCTGGTGATGTGACTTGTTGGTTCTCTGGGTTATATATATATATTGTATGAACCAATTGAATTGTAACCTACAAAAATCATTTCTCGCTTTTGTCATCCAATTTTCTTCTTCTTTGGCCAGGTGCATGTTTGTAGCACAAAGATCCAAAGATCTTAAAGTGAATAATTAAGCGTTTATTTACTGACCAAGCTTCTTCTGAAACATAGACTAAAGTCCTTTGGTTGGACACTTATTTAGAACATGTACTGCAGTCATGGCAGCTTCACCCCAAAAGCTATGAGGTAGATTTTTTCCTTTGAGCATACTTCTAACCATGTTTAAGATGGTCATGTTTCTCCTTTCAGCAATCCCATTGTGTTGAGGTGTATAGGGTGCAGACACCTCATGCACTATGCCTTGTTCTCTGCAAAATTCCTCAAACCCTCCTGATGTAAACTCCCTACCACCATCTATTCTCAGAGTTTTGATATGTTTGCCTGGTTGTTTTTCCATAAGTTCTTTGAATTTTTTAAATGTCTTGTACACATCTTGATTAGGTAGATCCATAACTTCCTGCTTAAGTCATCAACAAAGGATACAAAATACCTATTTCCTCCTAGTGGTGAAGTATCAAAGGGACCACATACATCAGAGTAGACTACCTACAATACCTCACTAGCTTTAGATGTAACATGGCCACTGAAGGAATTCCTATACTGCTTGCTGATTAGGCACTTATCACATATTTCTTTATAAGTTTCAATCAAAGGTAGTCCTGTAACCATTCCCTTTGACCACAATTGCTTCATATCTCTAAAATTCAAATGGCCTAACCTATGGTGCCATAACCATGAATCATCTTTCAAAACAACAACAGAAAACACTGAGATTCTATGGTGTTTAGGATTAACTTGAAGGTTATATTCTTGGCCAGTGGTGCTCTCATGACTAGCCCCCTGTTTTGTAATGGATCTCCAAAAAATCTTTGCTTGTGGAAGCTGCAAAACCTTTCTCCAGGAGCTGACCCAGGCTTATCAGATTGGTGGTCATCCCAAGGACATATAATACATTGGTAAGGATGAGTTGCTTCACATCTTCTCGGTTGACAATGACACTTCTAGTTCCTTCAGCTTGTGTGGCCTTGTTATCAGCAAATTTCACCATACTTGTCTTCCCTGCATCAAAATTGACTAGCCAATTTCGATGCCCAGTCATGTGGTTAAAACACCCTGAGTCTATGTACCAAATTTTGTTGTTCTGCAAGTCTAGATTAGTGATCATCATTAACATTAAGGGTTGATCTTCTGCACCTGTTTCATCTTCTTCTTTGGCTATATGCGGTTGGTGTTCTTTTTGATTTGATTGAGTTGTACATTCTGTTGAGAAATGTCCAATGCAATTGCAGTTGAAGCTCTTAAGTATCTATCAATCTTCTTGTTTTCTCCTTGCCAATTCGATGCTCATTCTCTTCGATTTGAGCTTCCTGAGTAATCTTGATCACTCTTTTCCTATTCTTGGTTTTGAGAATTTCTCCCAGGCGTGCTTCTAAAATCTTTTCCACGACCCTTTCCTCTTGATTCTGATTTGAAGTTGAATCCACCTTTTCTTGGTATGTATACTTGCAGAGCTTGATTATCACTGATTTTCTCAGTGCCCCTCTCAATGATTCTTTGCTCGTGTGCTTTGAGAGAACCTTATAGTTCTTCGACCTTCATTTCTTCAATCTTTTTGGATTCTTATATGGCCACCACGATATGGTCGAATTTGGGGGTTAGGGTTCGTAGGATCTTTTTGACAATCATTTTATCTTCGACTGTCTCACCACAATTCTTCATGGCATTTATGTGTATGATGATTCGATTGAAGAAATCCACTATCTTTTCATTGACTTCCATCTGCATCAATTCATATTGATGCCTCATCGTCTGTAGTCACACCTTCTTCAATTTCTCTGCACCGTCATTGCATTTTTCCAAGATTTTCCATGCTTCGTGTGAAGTTGCAGCTCCTGCAATCTTCTCAAAGTATGCTTCATCAACACACTGATGAATCAAGAACGTTGCCTTACATTCCTTCTTCTTGTTTTCTTTGTGAAGCTGCTTCTGTGCATCTATGGGTTGTGCGAGGAGTGCTGGGTAACCATCTTCTACGATTTCTGTGACTTCTTGGTACCCTAATATCGCCTTCATATGCACTCTCCATCGATCCCAATTCTTTCCATTGAGAACCGGGAGATTTGTTGTAAAGGTTACACCGATTTGCACCATCGTATGTCTCACAAGGTTTTTTGGATCAAAATCAGACTCTGATACTAGTTGTTAGAGTAAAACGATATTATAATTGAGAAAACAGTGGAATATCGATGATTTCTATTATTAGTAATCTCTTATACTCATTTAATAGAATTGGTATTTATACATGATATAAGTAAAATAGCATACAACTATTGGACAACTTCTGACACTAAACCGTTTAAATTATTCTGACAATGAAAAGTAAAAAAAAAAAAAAAAAAAGACATTTTGAATAAACATATGAAAACATTAAACATTGAAAAATGTAAATTTGTGGAAATCAATATGAAAATATATGATAACACTACAATGGATATTTTGGAAAATAATGAAAAAATATAGTTATTTTGATATTTTTGTTAGTAAACATGATTATTTTTAAAAAAATCCATTTATAAAACTTTAAAGATACAAAATATAAATTACATATATTAAGAAAATAACACGTCATCCATTCATTCTAAAAATGTATAATAAAAAATAAATTTAATTAATATATACTAACGGTAACCATGTAAAACAGTAACAATGTAAAATAGTTTTATAAATGAATTGCAATCTACTAAATATTTATTGAAAATTAATTTTTATTTTAATTATTTATAAAATAATATTTAAAAATGGTTGTGATGTACTAATTGTGTAAAGAATTTTACAGTGACAGTACATAGTAATTAATCTCATAAAAAATTTATTAAAATATTTTGAATTTTAAAATATAATTTTTTTCATAAATAAAATAAATAGATATATCAAAACTTAAAAAATTAACATGTCATCCCCAAAATTATTCATGTCACCCCTCATTTTTTAAATATCCATGAATAAATTAGAGGGTGGCAGAGAATGAAATTTTCGATAATTTCCACAAAATTTTCAGTATATTTTTCAATATCAGAAATTTCAGTGTATTTGAAATTTTTGGTATGTGTTCTGGACTGGGCGCGACAGGCCCAATAGCATTGATAAGGCCCAATCCAAATGGACTTGTTGAGGACCACGCCGACCAAAGGGACACAGTCGTGCCCGACGTGCTCCCTGAGGTTACTTGCTCGACCTCCAACTGTCCAGCTCGACATCACCGCGAGCACCCCAACTAGGGCAGACTCATTCCACTGCACTCCCAACGAGACCCCGAAAAGACCGCGTCTCTGTCCGCCCGCACTTCACGCCGAACATCCAGGGAGGGGACCACGTGCGGGTTCCTACTACGCACGTAGAACCTGGCAGTTCCTCCATTGGGCCAAACCTGCCCGGCCCAATGAAGGAACCTTGGCCCAGCGCTGGGGACTATAAATACCCTCTGTTTCCAGAGGGTCAGGTATTCATCATTCTACCCATACTTACTATTGCATGCTCGTGCTCTTACTTACTTCAGCATCGGAGTGTCTTGCAGGTACCCCCCCCCCCCCCCACCTCGTTCAAAACTTTCAGCTCGGAGCCAGCCGTGACGGTTCAAGTCTGATCAGGTTAGATCAGTGGCGCCGATTGTGGGGAACTAGCTTCCCCGTCTTACATACAACTCAAAAGACCAAAGCTCATATTCAACTACCTGTCATGGCTGATCCAGCTCGCGATGAGCAGAACGTCTGTGTCGCCGACACTAATAACGGCACGGCGGACAAGAACGGGCATCTCGACAACGCCGGCAATCCCGGCCACAACACCATTCCTGCAACAACCGTCCCCGGAACTTCCTCATACAGGGACGGGGCTACTGCATCATCCTCCTCGCTCCCACCACCACTCGAGGACGACCCGGCGGCCCTCGCCCATTATAGAGCCGCCCGGTTTCAGGAAGTCCTCGTCCCCTCCGGGGCGGATGCCACCACACAAGCGCTGTTCGCAGCAATTAATCAAACGAACTATCTCATCTTCGCCCAAGGAGAGAGGTTAAAGGCGCTTGAGGACGAGCGAA